GACGTCCCCGAATCCCGACGTCCCCAAATCCCTAGATCCCCAAATCCCCATGTCCCCAAATCCCCACGTCCCCAAATTGTCAAACGCCCAAATTATCAAATCCCCAAATTGTCAAATCCTCAAATCTTCAAACTGTCAAATCCCCAAATTTCTAAACTCCTAATCCCTAAATCCCCAAACTTCTAAATTCAAAAATCCTAATCCCCCAAAATCCTCCAAACCCCAAATCACCCCAAATAAATCCCTAAATAAGTACCCAAATTTCTAAAATCCTACTCTCTCAAATTTCCAAGCCACCGACATTTCGCTCACATCTGAATCGGCTTGACCGATGCTCTTAAACTGTTCCTTCCTGCAAAGTCCACCCTTCGCAGTTTTCCAGTAAGCAGAACCTTTGGTTGTCGAGGGATTTACGAGGTATAAGTGGGTCAGCACGACGCGCGACTTGACCTGTATAATCTTTCGACTCTACCTGCTGTGTCACGTAGTGCTATCTCATTAAACGGAAGTCGAGCACGCTCGCAGCACACATTTCATGTTTCACTTGGTAAAAATGTTTTTGACGACTTAATGCATCGACGCTTTGAACCTCCCGTGTCCTAAATTTTTTCCTTCTTTCTGCTTTTTATATGCTTTCGGCTCTTTTCGGTTGTGTGTCAAGTTCAATAGCTAACGTTTGATAATGTTCACTTTTATATTCTTTGAGAAACATTTTTGGGTTGCGTGAAAATTCTTGCGTGTTCATGTATATTGTATGTTCAACTCGGGTGGACAAAAGTGATCTTAATGTGAAATTATTACAATTTGCAATTGGAAAGAAATTGTAGATCTTTTGTTTTATATATCGTTTCTGTTAATATGTAAATGTAGTTAATGTACATTAATACTTCAATACTTCAGTGTACATTATAATGTACATTAATACTTCAGTACTTCAGTGTACATTATAGTGTACATTAGTACTTCAGTGTACATTATAATGTACATTAATATTTCAGTACTTCAGTGTACATTATAATGTACATTAGTACTTCAGTGTACATTATAATGTACATTAGTACTTCAGTGTACATTATAATGTACATTAGTACTTCAGTGTACATTATAATGTACATTAGTACTTCAGTGTACATTATAATGTACATTAGTACTTCAGTGTACATTATAATGTACATTAGTACTTCAGTGTACATTATAATGTACATTAGTACTTCAGTGTACATTATAATGTACATTAGTACTTCAGTGTACATTATAATGTACATTAGTACTTCAGTGTACATTATAATGTACATTAGTACTTCAGTGTACATTATAATGTACATTAGTACTTCAGTGTACATTATAATGTACATTAGTACTTCAGTGTACATTATAATGTACATTAGTACTTCAGTGTACATTATAATATACATTAATACTTCAGTACTTCAGTGTACATTATAATATACATTACTACATCAGATTTGAAAATAAATGAAATTAGGAGTTGAGAAATGTACCAGACTTTTAAATGTTGAAACCGAAAGATTTGTGAGAGCAGTAAATTTCGAAATTGACAGGCCATTAATGTACTCCCAGCGACGCGCAAGCGCAGTAGCGCACGAGCCCAAACCGATAGTGCAAAATTAAAAGAAATCAGTACACGTCGGTTATCGTATCCCTCGGTATAAGGAGGCAATCTTGCGAATGGCAGGATCGTAAAAGAGAGGTCGAGGGAGAGAAATAGTAACGAACGAAAGAGGGGACGTAGAAAGAGAAAGTAGAGAAGGAAAGGGGTGAGAAGAAAATTGGGGGGCAAAATCGAAGAAGAACATCGGGCTAGAACGGTTCCCACAATCTCGTCTCCTTATCGAATCAGAAGCCACCCCTTTTGCTCTCCCTCTCTCAGCCATTCTCTCCCACCCGTTTCTTCTCTCGGCCGAATACGCACACTCTCCCCGCCT